TGTGCCAGACTTTGTCGAACGCTTTTGCGACGTCGAAGAAGAGAGCTCCCGTGTATAACGGTTTTGGTCGATTAAGCCCCACAAGAATGTGCTCCGTGAGGCGGTGCACCTGTTGAACGCATGAGTGATTTGTACGGAATCCGAATTGTTCATCGATGAGAATGCCCTTGGATGAGACGAAGTCTCTGAGGCGTTTGTAGAGCAGACGCTCATACAGTTTGCCTAGAGACATGAGGAGGCTAATCGGGCGGTAGCTCGTCGGATGATTTTTTGGTTTACCGGGTTTATGTATGCCGATAACGTCCGCTTCTTTCCACACCGCGGGAATAATACAGTTCGCCATAGCGGCATTGAAAATAGATGCCAACATCACGATGAGTTGGACGGGTAGAAGTTTAATAACGCGGTTGGATATACCGTCGGAACCGGGAGCCTTGCGGGGACGTAGGTCTTTGATCAAGTCTTTAACTTCCATCGGGGTGACGATCGCTGATTGAATCAGCACGGGATCATAAAAATAATTTCGAAGGGTGAAAAGTTATTTGGTTTAAGCGACGATTGGTTTAATACGCGACATTTATCTTTGTAATTAAAGGCGCGTTTGATATTAGCATCAACAGTTCGATGTTTTCAATCGAACTTCAATTAAGCTTACTCCATCCATATAGTTGAAGAAGCTTTTTTGTTATGATATTTTTTCCAACATTTTAAACTTTAAATGGCACTCACGTAAAATTTAAAAAATTTCGTTAAACCAATTTTCGCCTTTCACCCCTCGATATAATCTTTTCGGCTATAAATCAGATCACCATGACTCGCAAAACTCGAACTGCTTTTTCTCATTCTTCCGTTCATAGTTATTATTAAATAAATTAAACTATATCTATACTAATATTATAAAGAGGAAAGATTTTATTGTTTGTTTGTATTGAATTGGCTCCGAAACTACGGAACCGATTTAAAAAATTCTTTCACTGTTGGCAAGCTACACTATCCTCGGGTGACATAGGCATATTTGAGTCGACTATTATCAAAGCCGGCAATGTGACTTTTGGACAATTATTGGTAAATCAGAAAAACGAATTATTGACTTTGTATTCCATTGGCAGTCACAAAACTCTTCTGAACGACATATTAGATAAATAACAGGTTAAGTATTAACCTTTATTTAATGCAGGTTTTGAATCGTATTCTTTGAAGGAGACGATTATATTCAAATCAATCTGTATTGACATATCAATAATATTTTTTTGTCCAAATGCACAGATTGCCACCTTTGATAATAGACGACTCATTTATAGTATATTTAAAAAAAATTTGGGATCCTTATATCCTTATAAGGGTAACCCAATGTGTAAAAAAATTACCTGAAATTCTTTACATCGCGTGCGCTACTACCCAAGCGAAGTCGGGGCTTGTTGCTAGTGATAAATAATTTCGTGATTCGTAGACATAATCGAAAATGCTTTTACAGTTTAATTTAATTGTCATTATATTATTTGCAATTTAAAATACTTTTTTATTACTGGTTATTGTGGCAAATCTTGGGGGAGGCCTGTGTCCAACAGTAGAACCTATGGGAGCTGAAAAAAAAAGTACTCTTCGACCACGAAAACTGTAATCCGTAAATGTCGTTTTAAATAAACGATTTATTTATTTTTATAAATGGTAACTATAACAGGTTCTTAGATAGTTCGGCCGCGAACTATCGGCTGGCCTACTACGCCTCGCAATCCTGCCGCGAACAGAGAATTACAGCAAACAAATTCTACAACTTTACTCCAAAGGATATGGTGCGTATTCGAATTATTAACACGTTATCTTTATTAATTTTGGTGGTGGTGATGTGGTAATCGAACCCGCGACCCTTGAGGCCACAATCAGGGGCGTTAATTACTACACCGCCGAGTCAGACCTCAGTGCTAATCCTGTTCTTCTTTTGGTTTGGCAGTGAAATAAACTGCGAGTGGTTGTATGTTTTTTTTTTTAAATACGTAAGTACTCCTCTAGTTTCTGAGCCCATAACCTCCTTTGATTTTGAACTGTTGCTCATACTGAGTCGGCTTATCAAAACTTGTAATTTGTAATGAGTTAGCATTAGTCTGTTTAATAAATTCGTGTTAAATATCATTCTTTGTTGCGCATAATTCAATATCACAGACAGGAGAAAAAAATTAAATTGGAATAACATGGCTTATTTGCATTACAGCAATATAAATAAAAACAACATCTGTCTCTGTGTCGAAATGTACACGCAGATAACCTTTAACTGCTTTGCCGTGATGATTATTGTTATTCTATAGTACAGGGTGTTGACCTGTACTATAGAATAACATTCCACGGTGAAGGAATAACATCGTGTAATAAAAACCAAACCCGCGATAATTATAATTTGCGTAATCACTGGTGGTAGGACCTCTTGGGAGTCCGCACGGGTAGGTACCACCACCCCGCCTATTTCCGCCGTGAGGCAGTAATGCGTTTCGGTTCGAAGGGTGGGGTAGCCGTTGTAACTATACTGAGACCTTAGAACTTATATCTCGAGGTGGGTGGCGCATTTACTTTGTAGATGAGCTCGTCAATCCACCCAAGCAACAAAAAAAATAATTTATTATTCTGTGCTACAGGGTGCTCTTCCGGATGAATTATCGTTTAATATGATAAACGAAGCATCGGTAGAGGACTTGAACACACGTTTGAATGAGAACTGTCGTGTAACAACACGCAATTTCCGACCGAATTTCGTGGTGGAAGGCGCTGAGCCTTACGCTGAAGACGGATGGAAATTCGTGAAGATCGGCGAAAACGTGTTCGAAGTTATAAAGCCGTGCACGAGGTATGTAATCTGAGTATAGCAAAACTTATTGGATTGAGCTCATAATCATTGAGACCTGAACAAAATGAAAATAAAATGTCTTTGAAAAAATGTATTGTTTTTTTTTCGCCAGGACTGACTCTTTTTGGGCTTTGTGGTTAACATATTTTGAGTTTCGGCATGGATATTGGGATGACAACTCGTCGAACGCGTCGCTTGCGACGAAGGGCTCGACGAATAAATTAACCCTCAGACAGCCCACTGAGTTTCTCGCCGGATCTTCTCAGTGGGTCGCGTTTCCGATCCGGTGATAGATTCTGCGAAGCACGGCTCTTGCTAGGGTTCGTGTTAGCAAAGTCGTCAGGTTTGAGCTCCGTGAGCTCACCTACTAGTTAAGGTTACGCTGAAATAGCCTCTCAAGGCTGTCAGCTAGGTAGGGAAAAAAGGGATGACATTTGAGTTGATTAGATATTGAATTTGACAGCTCAACATTAGGACTTTTTTTATAAAGTACACTTTTTCAGATGCGTGATGACCACAGTCGATCCAGAAACTGGCGTTCGCAATTCTGCTTCTGAACCATTGAATACATTGAAAAAGTGAGTATAGTCTTCAAATGCAAATACAAATAGGAAAAATGTGTATTTAATAAAAGTACACCATTAATCAAAATTTATTTTTTGCTTCAACTTGATTAATTGCTTACACTAATGAACGATTCTGCTATTTTTATAGTGCTTATAATGAGTAATATAGCTATAACTATAGCAATGACTACTGGCGTATGTAATTAGTACGTTTTTTGCTTGAGCATTAGCAGTTTTATTTTATATCAATAGCGTGCATCTGATAAATCTGTTTTCTTATCATATTAAGATCAAAAACCAACTTAATACTAACAATTTGGGGAAAATCAAAAATTTTGCGGGTCATTAAAATCAAATGTTGAAAAAATTTGCAATTTTACATAAACGGTCAGTAAAAGGCAAATATGAATAACGCTAAAATAACTGGCACTAGTTTTTCGCGCCGAAAATTGAACCCCCGGGTCAATATAGCCTACCTCTAATTCCGATGTCGAGCATGGGTCTCCGAAGAAGTTGCGGGCAGATGGTTAATTGATATACAAATAATTTTAATACGCTTTTATTAGCTTCAGACGTATGTGTTTGTAACGGAATCTTTGAACATGATTTTGACCCCCTTCAAAACGTCGAATTAACTCGAAATTTGGTATACTTATTAAGGACCGAGGTCAATTCAATATTTAAAAAAAAACAAAAGAAAATAATTTGAAACAAATGAAATTCAACTAAAAAATGGAAAATAAATAATAGGACTTCCACGTATAATTCAAGACCAAAATTAGCCAAATCGGTCCACTCGTTCTCGAGTTTTAGCGAGACTAACGAACAGCATTTAATTTTTATTTTATGAACAGATACGAGTAGAAGGGTTATTTTGATAATATCTTGAAAAGCACCCCACTTTTTTTACTATAAAATCAGTTTTTCTTACACTATTTTTAATTCAAATTTATTTTCTATTTTTTAGTCGGATTGTCTATAAAAGGGTATTTTGTTAGTTTTTTTGAACTGTTATTTATTTCATTACAGATATCGTCAAATAGAGAACGAAGAAGAACGCAGGTCGTCCGGCAGTTCTCCGCGTATGGGCGTACAACTGGCGCTGCGAAGTAAACCCGGCGGCACAGTTTCCTTGAACGATCCTATTTATGTAGCATGAATAGCAATTTTTTTTTTTTACTGAAAACGATTTATATGTTTTACTTTTTAACATTCTATTAATTTTCGTTTTCTTAATTAAATATAATTGTTATGTTAAGAATCGAGTAACATTATACCTACATTGACATTTTTCTCGAATCTTTCTGTAATCTGTTTTTCTTCAATCTATTTTATATTAATTAATTGATATTTATTTTTTAATAAATACATATTATTTTTATTTTATTTTATTAATTCAACTTAGCTTTTTATTTTTGAGAACTTCCAAATGGTTTTTGTCTTTTTATCGGGGGTAAACGAGGAGAGAAGTTATGTGAATAGTGGTGACCTATTCATTGTAGGTAAACAAGTTTTGGAGAAGGAAATACTACTACTACGAATACTAGTCGTAAGCAAGCCCCAATACAATAAATTATTCTTATCGTCGGCAATAATATGTATAACGACAATAAAAAATGCAAAAACATTAAGCCGTTAAATTAGTTTTAATTATGTCTACCACTCACGAAAAACAAAAACTACAAGTCCATGGACCACTTTAGTGCAATTTTAACAGCACCTTGAAACACGGATGGTATATATGTGGATTCATATATAAATAGAGAATTACTTGACAACCGTGTCAAATAATTGTGAATAAAAATCAAACTACACTTTTTCGAAAAATAAAACTTATTTTAATATATCTCACTAGGTCAGTTCGTTAGGTGCAATGGAATGCTTTTACATTAAATGCGGACAATTTGTGCTGCAATTCGTTTCGTGGCGTTGTCGCTATCGATTAATACACGAGTGAAGGTCCCTCCGCCGGTGCCTTTTGTCAAATGTTCTGGATTGACAACTACACATCCGTTGACATCCTGTAAAAAAAAAACATGAAAATATTACTTTATTAGTACTAATTATTAGTATCAGTAGTAGTAGTAGTACTAATTTAGTTCGTTTAGAAAGTAAATTCTCAAATATAACTGGTCCAAAAATGAAGTGATAAAAAAGGATATTTTGAGGGTAAATAATTAATAGCATAACCAAATATATGGATTCAAGATCCATCAGCACGAAATTGAACTATTTCCTCTATTTTTTTTAAAATCTAATCTGATGGTTTAGAGAGACCATATCAGCGTCACCGGGCTAGTAGGTGAGGTCACGGGGCTCAAACCTGACGATGTTGCTAACACGAACCCTAGCAAGAGCTGTGCTTCACAGAATGTACTACCGAGAAGCTCAGTGGGCTGTGTCTGTCTGTGGGTTAATTTACTCGCCGAGCCCTTTGTCGCAAGCGACGGGTTCGGCGAAAACGATGACCGGATTTTCTCAATGGTGACTGACGCTCATATGAAGACCTTAACGTTCCTAATGTAATAGATTTTTACCTTAACAAAATATCTGAAATTGGAGGGCAGTACGAGCAGATGCGGAGATGACTGAAGCTGTGTGTGCGCGTCCCACAGAACGGTGTCCAGCGGGACGGGCGCCGGACACAGCGGGTAGTACGTCTGCTGCGACAGCACGTGGCTCGCTAAGCGGGACAGCTTGTCGCCGCCGGTGCCTCTGTGTTCACAAATATTCTCAACACTAAGACTTTTTGGCGGGAACGCGAGGAGTGAAGTTAGTGATTTGTTTTATTTTGTCTATTTAGTGTTTCTTCAGGTTTAAATATGTAATAACGGTGGTTTGTTAACTGTTTAATATCTGTGAAAGTGCACAAATGTGGGAAAATGAAACAAAGCCGCTGGAAGTAACTTCTCGGGACCTACCAAAAAAGTTCACTGAAAAAATCTCAGTAAATTATTACCATTTTACTAAGATTTCATCTCATATCATTTAATTTCATCCCCAGTTGATTAATGTCTCAAATTAATCATCTTCATTTCATTTTACTCCATATTATCATTTTTCATAAAAATAATATAAATTATAATAAGATATGACCTAAAGGTCTTAGTTAACAGGTCGTAAAATCCCTTTTAAAAAAAAATCAACACTTTAAAAGGATTTAAGTATTCTACTAGAAGGTATAAGAAATTGAACATGAGGCCTGTCGTTTTGTGGTTACGTGACTTGTCTGCAGATACTGTGAATAGCTAAAACTATCTTTTTTTATTGCCCTTGTAGATAGACGAGCATACGGCCCACCTGATGATGAGTGGTTACCGTCGCCAATGAACTTCAGCAATGCCAGGGGCAGGGCCAAGCCACTGCCTACCGAAAATACCATATTTTCTAGTTCCGCAGCGGTGTAATCATTATAGAAGTAATCATCATCCGGTTTGGAAGGATAGTACAGCTGTTGTACAATAAAATTTCACATTAGATATTCCAAGGCGGCATTAACGTGTAAGCTTGCCGCTCACAAAGTCAAAAGTTAGTGTTCTTTCTGCCTATGCACAAAAATTTCCAACTGAACATTAGCAAGCATACCATTCTAATTTGGACTCGACTGCACTAGCTGACAGCTCTATTAACATTTTATAACTTCCGTCAATACATCCACACATAGGTAGTATCAATTGCCTAGTGTGAAGTGTGTGTGAGACATGAACCGCATATTATCCTCTCATTTTTAAATCAGATTCCGTTTGAGATCAACATGACACTTACAGTGATATTTCTTCCTGGCTAATGTGCATGAGGACATCTGTACTAGTGACTCCCACGTGGATACCATTAATGGTAAGAGTGCAGGGATCCGGTATAAAATGTATGTTGGGGTATTTCCTTCGGCTCACGTACGGCGGCGTGGGGTAGACATTGACATGAAAAGCATCCTTAAAATTTGATACGATGTAGATTTTCGTGATCGGACTGAAAAATGAAAAAATAATATTTTATAAAGGCTAACCACTACTTTTATAAGCATACTTACTAGCTGTACCCGTCCGCTTCGCTGGACATTTAAAATTAACATTATTATTTCTCACCCCCACAAAGATTCTCATCATTAACGCCCCCGCAACTGGTGTAGGGAGTCCAACTCTCATATAAATATTAGCCTATCCATTAAGTACACGTATTTTTTTTAATTTATTGCCTAGATGTGTGGACGAGCTCACAGCCCACCTGGTGTTAAGTGGTTACTGGAACATCTACAACGTAAATGCGCCACACACCTTGAGATATAAGTTCTAAGGTCTCAGTATATAGTATTTTCTACATGGATACCAAGTTTCAAGTCAATTGGATGCNCTCATATAAATATTAGCCTATCCATTAAGTACACGTATTTTTTTTAATTTATTGCCTAGATGTGTGGACGAGCTCACAGCCCACCTGGTGTTAAGTGGTTACTGGAACATCTACAACGTAAATGCGCCACACACCTTGAGATATAAGTTCTAAGGTCTCAGTATATAGTATTTTCTACATGGATACCAAGTTTCAAGTCAATTGGATGCACGGTTCAGTAGTTATAACGGAACATCCGTAAAAACCACTGTAGATGTATATATATGTATAGATTGAATTTATTAGTTATTATATAGTTATTAGTTTATTATAATATTCTAATAACTTAGCCAAATTCAAATCGACAAGCAGCAATTTGATTGTTATAAGCCTGTCAATGTCCACTAACAATAATGATAGTCACTTATCATTAGATGGACCATGCAGCAGTCTGCCTTTGGTGGCAAAAAGCAGGAAGTATACTTTAAAACACTTCTTTTCGATAGTCTTGGATGTTTTAAAAGAAAAATGTTGCCAAGTTAATAATAACATTGTTTGAAAGAACTTTTAAACAAAACAAAAACACAATAAGTGATTACAAAAGGATTAAATTTATATTAGAAATATTTGCTATGTACCAACCTCGTGTTGCTTAATTCTCCCAGACTATCGAGAATTTTCCCAAACAACGAGCTAAAAGTCTCGGCCATCGTATTGTCTTTGACTTTGGAGTGTTCACTGTCAATAAACGGCCCCGTCATTATGACTACGTGCGGTTTGTGCGTGTTTATGTACGTCACCATGTCCTTGAGAGGTTCGTAGGCCATGTTGTCCGACGTCGTGTACGGGCCCGCCACAGCGACCATCGACAATTTACCTATAATATACAAACTTAATGTGAACCATAGCCGCAGAAAACCGATTTTGATGATACCATTGATCTTACGTACCGGCTATATCGAACTTATGGTCAGGTAATTGTTGGATTGCGTCACAATAAACTTCTTGTGCTATGAACCTATCACCGCGGGGATTTATTCCGCGCAGCACCACCACTTGACCAGGGAATAAGGAATACTGATATACACTGAAATAAAAGTAAATATAAAAAAAAAATATAAGGAGGAAAGCTTGAATAAAAAAAAGCAAACAACTTTGCAAGTTTAACAAAGTGTTTACTTATAAAATTTCTAGTATTAATCTGATCTAAGTTTAATGTTTCAACCCTTTTTTCACTATTAATAAAACATAATCAAAACACATAAATGAGGCCGTTAGCATAAAAGTGACCTAAGCTTACCATAGTTAGTATGGAGATATCGAGGTTTGAATTTACTTTTACACTGTTTCGTAGGCAAAAACATTTCTGCCTATTTCTGCCGTGAAGCAGTATGCGTTTCGGTTTGAAGGGTGGAGCAACCGTTGTAACTATACCTGAGACCTTAGAACTTATGTTTCAAGCTGAGTGGCGAATTTACATTGTGGATGTCTATGGGCTCTGGTAACCACTTGGCACCGGGTGGGCTGTGAGCTCGTCCACCTATCTAAGCAATAAACAAAAAAAAAACAATATGCGGGAAAATAATGTTTACAAAGCCATCTGTTATCTATCGCTGAAACTTGGGAGGAAATAATTAAATTAATCACTAATATATTATTAAAGTCGCTAAATTAAGAGTTGTAATTAATATTATTTTTTTCTTCAAACTTAACACATAAATTAACCACACAAATATTAGTTTGAAAGCGGTAAATAAAATCTGAGAATCACAAATGACCATGATCCATGGATAGCATTGTCGTTTCTTTTAGGCCACAAGTGACGTCACACGTAACGGGTTACGTTCAGCCATGAAAGGAACTGAACTAATAGAAAGTCGTGCTTGATCTCAGTGAATTTCACTAAAGGAATATTATTCACAGAACGTCTTCTTATATTATGTAGTTTAAAAAAATATGTTTAAATTAGGTCATTAAGACGTTTATGATAACGAACCACTCTAAAAATGTAACGTTCGGAAATATTTTCTGCTGTAGATACGTCTGGTTTTAGATATCGCTTTATCGAATTTCAAATCCAAACCGTGGCAACGGTGGTAATTAAATTAATTCCATAAAGCTATTATTATCGTTTACAATTCATTTCCAACGATAATTATAATATATTTTTAGCGTATTAGAAAATGTATTCGTCGAACTTTGCAAATAATGTTCAATGTCTAACATAAACATTGTGTAATATCTTTAAGAGTCCTTACTTGTCAAAGTCCACCGGTACCGACTGACTGAGTGACTCCTCCCACGTACCTTGAAGCACCACACATTTTGCATTTAACCTCGCATCTGCATCACATTCTATACGTCCAGCAACGTATACGTTTGTCTGCAACGAAATATTAAGTCACGTCCAGAAATTTCGACACCACGCGGGAGGGCTCTCAACTTTTTCAATGGAAAGTACAATGGCGTGAAGTTCACGGAAGATTTGTGTTCCGCCATGAAATCTTCATTTGCTTTGTAAGCTTTAGGGAACGCGCGAATTTCTTCAAAGGAGCAACCGTATTATTTTTTTCCTACCTAAGCTGATAGCCTTGAGAGGCTATATCAGCGGAACCTTAACTAGTAGGTGAGCTCACGGGGCTCAAACCTGACGACGTTGCTAACACGAACCATAGCAAGAGCCGTGCTTCGCAGAATCTACCACCGGATCGGAAACGCGACCCACTGAGAAGATCCGGCGAGAAACTCAGTAGGCTGTGTCCGAGGGTTAAAACGAGCAACCAGTTTCGTCGTAAAGATACCTCATGCCATAACAGTTTCAAGCTTAGATAGGTAAACAAGCTCACGGCCCACGGCCCACTTGGTGTCAAGTAGTTACCAAGCCCAAGACCCAACTAAGGTACAACAATGTAGATGGAAGGAAACAACGTAAATACAGCGACTTATTTATAAACATGAAGCCGAAATTTCAATTGTACAAATCATAACTGTATTGTAATCTTTCAATGCACATTTTTGAACTCTAGTATTATTATGTTTTGTTTAATTTCAAAATCTGCAGCAATACTGTGTTTCTTTAAGAATACGTGCTAAAAATACGGGTGCAATTTTTTTTTTTTTTTTTTAAATAAATAAATAAATATTTACTTACAATCACGCCACGTTAACTGGTCCCGTGATAAGTTCGTAAAGAACTTGTGTTACAGGTACCAGATAACGGAAATAAATGTAAGATTTTTATTATACACATACATATATTTTTAATATACATCCATAACCCTGGAAAAGACATTTATATTTATCATACAAATATCTTTCCTTGGCGGGATTCGAACCCGCGACCCCCTTGTGTAGTGACCACGTCACTTACCACTACACCAGACGGTCGTTAAATGTATATCGATACCAATATATCATTCCTTATTTCGTAATCTGTCTATGTATCAGCCCAGACGTCCACTGCTGGCCATAGGCCTCCCCCAAGCTTCGCCACAACGATCAGTCCTGCGCTGCTTGCACCCAGCGGAACCTTGTCAATCTCAATAGGTTGTCAGTCCATCTTGTAGAACTACCCACGCTGTCTACCTTATGTCAAGCGCGGCGATTATGGCAACCCCCCCCCCCCCCCACATGGCTGACACAATTTTCGTAATACCCGAATAATAAAGTATTTTATCCGAAAATCTGTCGGCGACACTTTTGTTAATTAAAATAATACAAATTACACTTCGAATCAATTATAATAGGTTCAGAACACATCACTACTAGAACCCACCTGTGTTTTGTGTCTAACTGAGGTACTTTCCTTTACACCCGCCTTCTTCATTATGTACTGCGATATGTATCGAATGTGATTATCAAACGTACTGGCTTTTTCGTGGAGAAGTTCAAAACCCAACCTAAAAGTCAACTGCGACTTAAGTTTATTTACGAATGTATTTTTTTTTTCATTAACACCTTCATTCATAATAGTCAATTAATAACGATGTGTGTAAGTAATAAGGATTTACATCACTCACATCGATTTTTACCATTTTCCGTACAACAAAAATTGGAGTCACTGTCCAATTATTCCCATATAACAACAAAAAATGTATTTTTCTCGGATTACGCGAATCGTAGACTCAATTAAAATTATTTATACGGTTTAATAATTTCCAAGGAATTAAGGTTTAACGTCTATGGAGTAAAGCTTCGTTCGTAAACACGAAAACTAGTAATTATTCAACAGGTAAAAAAAAAAAATCGTATAGATTAAAAACCGTATAAATTATTTAATTAAAACTATTGTTAAGACACCACGCCAAGTGTGTGGGACGGTGATAGATGACAGTACATTATGCAAATAATGAGAATTAGAAGAACTAGTAACATAATAAAACCAGTATGCAATATTACAAGAATATTCGTCAACGTCACAATCGTATGAACATAACTTACATCGCCTTTGTGTAAACTTCGTCATCGTCATTAGGCACTTGCGTGATTTTCAAACTGAGCACATCATTCGAGCTGTTCGCTTTACCTAATTCTTGTAGTAATTTCTCATCTCCATAAGAATGGACCACCGTGCCTGCGTTTGTTCTCGACGCGTACTTCGCTGAACCGCTGGAATATTCGGTTAAGTATTTACTTTGTTTCAATATTCACATGGCGCCACGGAATTTTAACTTCGTTAACTTACACGGTCGGTGAATAAGTTGCAGGAACTATGTCATTCTGATTTGTCGTCGCGTCTTTTTCGATTTTGACTCTCTGTGAATAATTAAGTTTAAGGATTTGCACATTAAATTAATTTCAAAACAACCGAGTTGTGATATGTGTATTACGATATTTTTGCCTGAGGTTTTGATTATTTAATATTTTTTTTAACACAAATAATGAAGTTAAGGAAAAAATTATGCAAGTACTCGTATGTACATAGTTTACCTACACTATTTTAATAAATATCAATCGCTCAAATAGGACCGGATTTGTCGTTGAAGACTATAGTATCTAAAGTTATTGGTAGCAGTCTGGTTCTTGGAAGGCGATGTTCGACTTCTGTGAAGTCCACCAAGATTTCGCAATTAGAAGCGTATACTCGTTCTAGATAGCACTCTACTTTCACTGCACCAATCCAGTAGGAGTTACGCCTGGGGCGTCCTGTAGGAGCCAGGATCCCTCGACAATCCGGTTCGGTGCAACTGCATAAAGTTAACTTAAAGAGCGCCCGGTTAGTGGTGATCCACCGTCACCTTACCATCTGGCAGGCTGACTCTGGTACAGCGGGGTATCGTGGATCACCAACGACACAGGCTGGTTCTTCGAATGGGTCACCGACCGTGGTAGCTTATTTTCGCCGACGATATCGCCGGCCAAGCAGATTGCAGTGTTACTAACTGTTCCCCATATACATAAAATATGTATATATTTAAACGTAGAGAATTATGAATTTCAATCTTTGATTCTCATTTGGGCCAGATGATTGTGATATATGCTGAATTGTTCATTTATTTTTTTATTTAACCTTATGACCGTATTGGAATTCTCGGGATACTTATTTCGAATGACGTACAGTATTAGTAGTTTGGATAGTTAAGCTAAGATGGCTTCTAGAATGTTGGTAGTCTTTAACAAAGAGAAACGATAGTTCAAGCCCGGACTAATACTTCTTTTTTTAAAAGCACAGGGGCCCCGCGGATTAGTTTGCTCCTATATCTGTGCCGAGGTTCTTAAGTATCCACTTTTTTCGTTTAATCCAATACAGAAAAGAACAGTTTTGATCGTTGGGACTATCTCAGTTCTTTTGTAGCCCCTGCATCTATGATTTTACTTTGATTCTTTCGGTATTTGTTGCGTATGAACCATGTGGAGTGGTCTAAGGAATATTTTGAGATGGCTCTGTCATTTCCTTAGTAGGGGAACGTACCCATACTACGTGTCCCGTTTAGGGCGGGGAGCGGAGTCTTTAAAATACTACGGTCAGTCACAGGAGCGGGGGGGGTGGCTCAGGTTTTTGTCACGTAGTCGATTTTAGTGGGAGAAATCTCGTTTTTTTCGACCTATATTTGAATATAGCGCGCAGTGCTTAGCGCTTTGTAAACTCACACTACATAATTCACTAGTAATTTAAGTGTGCATGCAGTCTTGTGAAATAAAGACGAGTATGAACCAATTTTTTTTTTTCAATTTTTGCCTATGTAATGATTAAAAATCATAATAATGAATTACTACGTGAAAACTAAAGGGGGAGAGGGGGGGTCTTGGCATATTCTACGAGTGATCACCGTGGGGAGGTAGAGGTCGAAAAACAAAAAAAATAGGTCACGTAGTATGGGTACGTTCCCTAACTGTACCACCCGCCGTCGGAACGGTTTGGTCATGTACCTACCTAGAACCACTCCATTCCTCCCTAATGCGATTCCAGTGATCATTATTGACACTTAAAATTTGGCTCTATAGTGAGTACCCCTCCTTGGCATTCTATGAGCGCTAGCGACATAGTTTTGTATTAAAATGTTTTGAAAAGTCCCAAGACCATACTTTCCCGTACTTTTCTAATATTTGGGCAACAATGAACACTCAACATCAGGTGGAATATATGCACAGCTACCTCAAAGGCAGTAAAAAAGTGTAGGTACTCTGAAGCAACTGCATACCAAGAGCATATAACCACAGCCGTGTAGTCTCAATTGGTACATAATGAGCAGACTGTTTCACTGTTATTGTCTTTAATTTTAAAACTGAACTCAAACATAACCTTTATAAGAAATCAATGGTTAGATGGTTAGGCAACGCACTGGCGTAAACGCTGGTGACCGTGGGCGGCGGTGAATCACTTACCATCAGGTGACCCGTCTTGCTCATTTGCCTCTCGTTGTTATAAAAAAAAAAAAAATTAAACATTCACCGTTAATATTAATAAAAAATTAGATATATATTTGTGGCAACTAAGACTTACAAAAAATTATAAACAAGATAAACAATATTTGTACCGGACTGGTTGCAATACAAATTTTCACATTTGTGAGATACTCATCATTTTACAGTAGTTACATTCAAATACTCAGCATTACTTATAGCTGGACTGTTTGATGGTTACCAGAATAAACTATTAACAAGAAGCAATTTTTTTAACTTAGTGTAGTATTATTTTAATGTTACTGTGTGATGTATTTCCAATTTTACAATAGCAATATTATATGTTAAATGTCTGTGATACAAATTGACTAAAAAACTTACTCATAAGAAGAATGAGTTGATGGCTGCAGACGAGTATGGATCTAGTCATGATCAATATAAAACATGAACCAGAAGCAAACTCGCCCACAAATATCATCAAGTCACTGGTTGATTTTTTAATATGCACATTCCATTTTAATTAGTTGTTATTTATTGTTATTTATCACCTTTCTTTCTTGATGCTTTGTTTGCAATTATGACTTCAAAATGCATTTATGTATATTTAATTTGTAGGGTAGATTGTGAAATGTATGTTTAAAATCTTGATACAAGTCAGATGCTCTGAAGATGAATCCATAAGCACTCAATGAGTGTAGATCTAGTCACAGAATCAGCCCGGTGATACTAGACCTATACCCATTAACTACAAATGGAGAAAGATCCGTTTTTCTTCAAATACTCTCATCAACTGAAAGATTTATTAACACATACACAAAATTCAGTGCTAAGGTACTACTAACTGAGAATTAAGATTCATCGCTTAGAGATTTAGAAACAAAAAAAACTACGTACATAACCTTGAAACGTTAACTCAAAACTAACACGAAGTTTATTAAAATCCAGTTACATACCTTGGGCGTTACGGCAACATAACTTGATAGTACTTCACTGTCTGGACTATATCAGTATAGGAAATGATTGCACTAAATTTTTGAAATAACGCTACTAACACAATAGTGTGTTTAGAAACATAATGAATATAAGAAGCACATTTCATAGTTATTTTCTAATATACTGCAAATTTCAACGTACTTTGTGTCAAAGGATACGGCGAAGTGGCTTTTGCTCCATAAACGGTAAGACTTTTACCGGCAGCTGGTCGTGTGGTTTCTTTAGCGGACGCGTTAGTTCGGCGCTTGGAAAATTCCTTTCTTACGAATAAATCTAAGTTTTCCAAGTTTGGTGAAGCACCGTTTACATAATTCAAACTGAATGCCATCCATTGTTCGATAAAAGTTTCAGCATCAATATTGTTCTCTTCACACAAATTTACACCTTTGGAAAAATGGTTCGTGAAACAACCTTGAACATGTTATTTGTCAATGTTTAATTACAATCACCATTGATAGAACTTATCGAGCACAGGTAACAGAAAAGACAAACCGTTTCTAACCGTTAAACAAGCTTACTTACATTTTATTAAAACATCTTGTTCAACGTTTATGCCAAAAAATTTAAATTGCTCAGTCACCAACTCTTCGGAGGCCATTTTCTGTAATTGAAAGAGCAAATGAAAGAAAAGGAAGCAAAAGAGCGCCAACGCCGATCCGAAAGTTTGCGTCAAAAAAGAGGTTGCCAGAAACGAAAAAATTTAAAACCTGCCATAGAACAGTCAAATCAGTCGTAACTTGTCATTGTAAAGTAAATTTTTAATTTACGAATCAGTGACTTAGTGCTGCGTCGCAAAGATTTGTTTTACGTTTTTGTTTATAATGGTTTAATAAACAACTAACTTAACAAAATCAAAAAGCAAGAAACAATGTTCAGTTGTTGTCAATGTTTAAATTTAACAGTACCTAAGTACTTTAGGATATTATTTGTTTTTTACTAGAAAAAAATTCTTCCATAAACCGAATTAAATTCAATTCACCCCAGTTGAAGACCCGCTTCAAAGAGTTATATTCTTCACTCACTTGTTGATTATTTCGCCTGAATTAGGTTCCGAGAAATACTGATGGCCGATACATCACCAATCCCTTCTGATTTTACCGGTATAGTAATGCAAGCCATCAATAGGACAGATAACATGCTGGAACGCCAGAGTTAATGGTCATGATAGTGCAGGGGTAGCCGTCAACGAAGAGCTCCAACCATCCTAAAGTACATTCGATGCGATTTCACGCCTCAAGGGTTCTTCTCGCTTCTCATTTCGCAATTCCCGACACTTCAGCTCCATCCAATATCCTGCCATTAATCATTGAAGCTTGCGTAGTGTAAAATCAGGTTAAAAATTCAGTAGATAGTAGGACTTGAAACGATTGGCTGGCGCCCACCCTCCCGATTATGTTTGCCATCAAACGTCTATTTTCCACTATCGGGTCGCCGAATTTCTGCCCCTTTCTGGTTTCCTTTTTTAATACTTGTGACGTATTTCAGTGGTTTCTGGAACTTACGGGTCAGACGTATTTGTGTGTCTATAAAGTGTGGTGAGTTTACGCAGAGACCAATACCGTGTCCATTAGTTCCTCACACAATCCAAGATTTTGCTATACCCCACCAATCTACTGCTGCTTCACAAGCAGCAAGGCAGCAGCAAGCGACTTCAAGAACAGTCATTGTACTATAGTGCACAATAATATAGGTAGTAGAACCGACTTGAAAATCACAACTCGACGTAGGCGGCATTTACGTTGTTGATGTCTAGAGACTCTGGTGACCGTTTAACACCAAGTCGGCCGTGAGCTCGGTCATTCGTCTAAGCAATAAAAATTAAAAACCATTGTCGCCTCGAAAACCGCGATTCTCGGTTCTTTGGCACCGTAGTGACCACGGGGGTTGTTTGTTTATTTTATACTCATATTTATGCCGGTTTTTCCAGGTCCCACAGTAGTAATGGGGTTTCTTCACTTCTTTACGTACGCACACCTTAATGACTGTAAATACGAATGGACTGTGTAAAAAACTGGTAAGTCAAAACGAAAAACAGCCAAACCCTGGAGATCAGAAGCGCTTTTTTTTTGGCTGATGGCGGAACCTCGTATGAGTTCCCGGCGTCTAGGGGGCACGCGGGGTATGTGGGCTTCGACGGTCCACAAATTAGACCGAGGGCCCAAGGATGGTATTTACCCACTAAACGACTCCCCTGCACTTTCGCCAAAGTGTTAGTTCACCCCCCTGAGGTCAGGACCTGGGTGGGGTAAGGCAGTTAGACTGCAGTCAACACTGCAAATAGGCTCAGCTCACCCCAAGAACACCCGAATGACGGAACCTTCGAGGCGAATCGACAGCTCTGAAACGTCGGTCATCTCACTACGCGAGTCCGTCAGGCCATCCAAGGGGTGCCGCTGATGTGCGATCGCTCTTATGTACTCCCGGGAGACCCGCTAGTGCTGGTAGTGCGCCATATTTATCAACTCGTTCAGATCGCCTGGTGACCTTCACTAACCTACCACTTTTTTTAATGATCGAAACTGAAATCTTCCTAATGTTTGAAGAGTTATCAGCTGTGTGAACCGTAAAGGCAGGTGTAAGCTCAGGTATATACCCATGGACTAAGCATAGCTATATGACTCACAGGTGAGATTGCGGTGGCCACGTCCCACTTACGTGAAGAGGTAAACCTTGACTTATGGAGAAAAAGTTTTTCAAATTTGTAAAACGTTTTCAAGGATTCCCATCCAGATTGAAAATATTCATTAATAACAGTAGAGCAGGCTGAACCATCTATATTTGGAGAAGTGTGGTGTCCCGGTTCCTTTATTAACCACTAATGTTGCTGAATAAGTGCTCAGTGAAAACCCTTTTGTTTTTTACCTTTAATTATGTACGGTTAAGCTGAGAACATCTTGTATTTTACACAATTGTTTTCACAATTAATTGGTAAGAAATTATACATCAAACTGATGGTGCTTTAGTTATTTATCTAGTAATTATTTAATTTGTGTGGTTTACAACTGAGATATCAAGATTTATAAAGTATCTAAGAATCTATTATGCTTGTTTTTTGAGATCCAATAGTCCTTATATTAAGCAATTACTTTTTTTTTATTGCTTAGATGGGTAGACAAGCTCACGGCCCGGCTGACCTTAAGTGGTTATCAGAGCCCATAGGCTCAAGGTAAAAGCCGCCATCCACCTTGAGATATGATTTCTAAGGTCTCAGTAGTTACAAACAGCTGCCCCACACTGATTTTAATACATAATGTTATTCCTTCACTATGAAAGTCAAATGTGAACATCTTTTGAAAATTTGAAAAATTGGTACCGGCATGCAGGATTTGAATTCCAGTGCATCACTCAATACAAATGCACGAGACGACTTATCTTTTAGGCCATGACAACTTCAGAATACTTATAATAGTTACAATAGTTATTACAATCCTGTTTAAGGCTTATAACCAAAGTGAAAAATAAAGTGCTTAATACACTCATGGCACTAGTGACCTTGACATGTCCAGGACCCCAAATGTTCATAATAAATAATAGAATATGCAATATATTATTGCTCCTTTATTTAAAAAAAAATAATACATTAAACAATAACATAACATGTTATAACATATTAAAAGAATGTAAACAAAGCAAATCTAGATTTGTATTATGTTCTTTGAACGTGTATATGAAATTTACATGAAGGCATAGACTGAACTTCTGCTGTGACAATACTGTTAATACAGAGATTAGCCAATCCACCTCGAATGAGCCCACAAGTGTAAGCAACATACTGAAATGGTAAAAACACTGATTTAGAAACAATACTTTGATAGTAAATTTTATTAATTCCAAAGGTCAATGAAAATAAATATAAGAAATAATAGTTTTTACTCACTCTAGGAGCATATTCCAGGTACTGATGACCATTAGAAAAATTTGTTAGAAAACGGAATGCATTATCTTGAAGTACATAAACTCCTTGGTGGTTTGTACGAAGATTATCTATCTGTTTTTTGTAAATACAAGTCCAAAAATCTGTACATATGAATTTCATAGTATCTAATTCATCTTTAAAACGCGGCCATTCCCTCGTTAATCTTTCCATGATTTTATAGCCTGCCGCAAACCCGATGTATTCGACAACAGACAAATCAGTTTCCTGAAATCGATGTATTAAAATGTATTTATTGTAATAATATTGCCTAATCTCAAACGATTATTTAGTATTTAACATTACATACATATTGATTAAACAAACCTTTTCGCCATTATCGTTATTCTTGAATTTTTCAATAGAATAATTTATAATTTCAGAATGTAATAATTCAAATATGATGTCGTCGGCCATTCTTGAGGGGTCCAGATATTTTTAATTAAGGTTTATTACTCATTGCATATTTATTTATAATAATAACGCTTCGTAGGTAATATAATCTGTCTTTACAAATGAAAACACACACGGAAAGAAAAAAGGGGCTAAAGGAACTTTTGTATTGTAAATTGAGTAAATTCTTTTTTAATTTTAGTTTCTTTTTTTTAGGGATTTTATGACCTGGTAACTAAGCCCTTTAAGTCATGTCTTATTTTAATTTTTATTCTTAATTTTATGAAAAATGATAATATGGAGTGAAATTAAATGAAGATGATTAATTTGAGACATTAATCAAGTAGGATGAAATTAAATGAAACGAGATGCGATGATATGAGATGAAATATAATCTCAGTAAAATGGTAGCCATTTCCTAAAACTTTTTCATTGGACTTTTTAGAGGATCCCGAGAAGTTACATTCAGCGGCTTTTTTTTATTTTCCCACATTTGTGCTTTTAAAGATTTTTTTAAGGGACTTTATGACCTGGTAACTAAGACTTTTAAGTCATATCTTATTTTAATTTAAATTCTTATTTTTATGAAAACTGATAATATGGAATGAAATGAAATGAAGATGATTAATTTGAGATCAAATGGGACGAAATTAAATGAAATGAGATGAGATGAGATGAGATGATATGGGATGAAATATAATCTCAGTAAAATGATGGTCATTTACTGAGATTTTTTCAGTGGACTTTTGGAGGATCCCGAGAAGTTACGTCCAACGGCTTTGTTTCATTTTCCCACATTTGCGCACTTTCTCAGATATTAAACAGTTAATAAACCAACGTTATCACACATTTAAACCTGAAGAAACACTAAATAGACAAAATAAAACAATTCACACAACTTCACTCCTCGCGTTCCCGCCAAAAAGTCCAAACTTAACCACATTTTTTTATAATGGGTTTTTATGACCTGGTAACTAAGATCTTTTAGTCATGTCTTATTTTAATTTATATTCTTTTATGAAAAATGATATGGAGTGAAATTAAATGAAGATGATTAATTTGAGACATTTATCAATTGAGATGAAATTAAATGAAATGAGATGCGATGATATGGGATGAAACATAATCTCAGTAAAATGGTGGTCATTTACTTCTGAGATTTTTTCAGTGAACTTTTTGGAGGATCCCGAGAAGTTACGTCCAGTGGCTTTATTTCATTTTTCTACATTTGTGCACTTTCACAGATACCGTAAAATAGGGCGATTAGGGATTGAGAGGCGAATCGGGAAAAAACCGGGAAAATTTTCGACGCTCAATATTAGTTTTATATTCAATACAAAATCTTCCATTTTTTGTAGTTTAATAGTAGAATGTTGAAAGTTTACAAAACAACTCTGAATATGCATGATAATAGCTGCTAAGTTAAAAAAAATCGCGTTTCAAATTAACTTCCTGTGGTGGTAATTATTTTAGTGCTAGAAACTTTGCTCTCTATTATTCATTTCATAATAATAGAAGACGACTGTGATTTATAAACGTTATTTAGTGTTTGAACCATCATATATGTTAAAGGTAACTCTCAGTTGTTATTGGTATTAATGTATTTGATAAAATAAAAATACATGTAAAAATCTGTTGTTTTTGGGGATATTGGGGACGTCCTAGGTACAAATAACAATGAAAAAGGGGTCAATTGGGATGAGAATAAGTGAAATGGAAACTACCTTAGTATAAATAGGTACAGGTTTGTAGGGTTGTCTATATGGTTATAACAATATTTTTTAAATTTGTTGGTAAAATCTGGTTGATTCATGATGTTTTTGTCTAGAACTTTTATTTTAAATTATCAATGTGTTATTTTATTGTTTGGTAAATATTTATATTATCAGTTACGTATTGTTTTCTATTTTTAGATATGCCTCGCATGTACGTATCAAAGAGTGCAAAGCCTTATAAGATATATTATCCCTTAATATTAAAAACAGCAATAGAAGCCTATGAAATTGGGAATAAGTCTTTAGTTGAAATAGCTAAGCAATTTAATATAAGTAAGTCGATTTTGCACAGACATGTAACAAGAACAATGAAATCTCAAGGTGGACAAAAATGTCTAAGTAATACATAATAAAATATTTAATATTTGTTCAGAGTGGGGGTATTCATCTGAATAATCCATGGAATAACCGACACACCTAATCTCTTAACCCAGATAAAAATATCAGCCCCTAAGTACTTACCAAAAACGAAGAAATATAAACCGTTTATAAGAAAGCCCGCTCGTTCTAATTTAGGCGCTTACTCTCCCATATACAGAATCCTTTGGGACTACAATAATGACTACGGTAGCGTGGTGTCCGTTAATGTTCATTCGGAGTTGTCTGATTGCGCTGAACTAATTTTAAGTGATGAAATATATGTTTTTAATTGTCTCACAACTTACAGGACAAATCTGTCGCGGATCATTTCCCAAGTAAATATAAATTAATCATAAGTAAATAAATGTAATCAAGTTTTAGTTATATATATATGTTGTTGTTAATGCACTGTCGATTGCACCTATAATTGAGGTGACATCTGCCATGTACTTTTATCAGTTTTTCAATGTTTTTTATTGATGATCACTTTGTTGGTGCAACTAAATAAATAAATAAATAAATTAAAACCAAGTAGTGCCAACCCTAGCAAATTTCTCATTTCTTCCCCATTAACCGCAATATCCGGGTAAAAAGGGATTACACCTACTTTTGCTTTTTCTGTATAAACTGGAATGCTAGTTGCATAGTTTTAAATTGGACAACAAAGATGCCTCCAAGACTCAATCATTTTTATCCTAATATAGCATTATATACATCAACAACTACCTTAAAATTGGTCATAAAGTTGGAATTTGTCCCTAGTCGCCCCATTTTAGCGGTACTTATAACAAAAATGTTACATAGAAATAGTAGTAATTAGTAGAAATTTGGTACCGCTAGCATCCCTAAAATAAAAAAATACAAATAAATAAAATGGTGGTTCTAGCGGTCGAGAAAAGAGTACTTCGTGATAAAAAAAATTCATACTGTTGGTTCAACTGAAGTTTTTGGTCATATAAATCAGTGTACTATTCGTATTGATTGTTCTTCTATAATTAACAGAAAAAAAGGTATTATTGATCAATTATTGTTTCCTAATGGACGCGGATAATCTTATCATAGAAGATGGCGAACCGACGCAATCACCAGTGGTCGGGGCGCCATCCATCGTTGAAAAACAGAAACCGGCTAGCGTTGACGGAAACGTCAAAAAGAAAAGGAGACGCGCGAATACCAAACGTAAAGTTATGACGCCTTTTGTAAAAGCTCCTTGGCGTGATAGGAGGAGAAACGAAAAACCTAAAAGAAATAATCGCTTTCGTAAAATTGTTTTGACGAAAACTCATGCCCCGTTCAACAATAATCAATTTTTGATGGAAATTCACAAACCTGAACCCGAAAATGCGTTCAATATACTTCAGACGCCTTCAGCACGCACTCGTGATTCCAGTTTTAGTGTAGATTCAGATGATAACTATTTTTATGCTCTGCCTGAAGACGAAGAAGAATATTTGACAAAAGAATTTTCAAGCGTGTATGAGGATGCGCAATGTGAGCGTCTATCAAATATGACAAAAAACGAACTTATACAAGAATATCTTCTGTTAGAGGCAAAGTTTGAAAACCTTGTAAAAAGGACTGAGCGCTCGAAGATGAAACGAATGGAGGAAGATAAAGACAATAGCACTGACAGAGATGCGTCGATTGCAGATAAAGATAGTATGGTGACTGACAGAGATACATCTGAGACTTCTGTTGAAACATTTACCGCAGAGGATCCGCCTTCAAACGAAATCTGGCAACGCCTTAAAGACCAAGAAGATCAAATAAGAGAGTTGCAAATCTCAAATGAAAAGCTTTTATTGGAAAATGAACATTTAAGACAAAGGCAACATAACTCTAGTGAGGATTCTGAAAGTGACAGTTCATCTACAAGTGATAGTAATAGTTCAAGTGGAAGTGAAAAAGTTGTGGATGAACCAGTGGTCCAAAATGAACCTGTCAATGATATCGCTCAACCAAATGGATGCCAAGAATTTGAAATCCTAGAAAATCCAATTCCCCTTGTGAATGGGTTCCATACTAAGGATTAGTTTCCACACATTTGTGTGAGTGTGTGTGTGTTAAAAATGTAAATATTAAGTGTTTAAACTCTTTATGTTATAAGCATATGTTATTCATTTCTTTATAACTTGATTGAAATTTTAATTGTGTTATTTTATGCTTAAAATTTGTACTAATTTTGCATTTAATTATATTTTCAAATCATAAAAGTGCACAATTAACACTGGAAATGTAAACCTTAAATTCCAAGACAGATTAGTTTCACACAAGTCTGCAATAACTCTGTAGATGTTTGTATTTTAATTATTTGATCTCACTTTTATGTGATTGTAGGGATTGTGAATGTAATTTATATTGAGAAAAATAAGTAAATATATGGCATTGAGAGAATTGGAACACAAATTAATCCAAGTAAAGAAACACAATGCATTAGGAAAAATGTATTTGAGAAACTTAAACATAAAAGGCTTTCTATTTCTGCCTGTAGTATTATTTGAAACTTAATTTTAATTGAATATTAGGACTAATTCTTACTCTGCCAATCCATCCTACAGTTTCGAGATGTAAGGCAGTCAGATGTGTGAATCAAGCTAAATGATCTAAAACATGGATTCATGTTATACTTATAAACTTGCTTAATGGGGAAAGGCANATTTGAGAAACTTAAACATAAAAGGCTTTCTATTTCTGCCTGTAGTATTATTTGAAACTTAATTTTAATTGAATATTAGGACTAATTCTTACTCTGCCAATCCATCCTACAGTTTCGAGATGTAAGGCAGTCAGATGTGTGAATCAAGCTAAATGATCTAAAACATGGATTCATGTTATACTTATAAACTTGCTTAATGGGGAAAGGCAAGAAAACACAAGTAAACAATTTGCACATATTGCTGTGTCATTTTAGTTTCAGTGATGAAGATGTTTTATGCTTTGAAGAAAAGTGAATATTGACAAAATGACATGCCACAATATATTGCCATGATTTTGCTTCCATGTTTAGAATTAATATTTAAATTAAATTATTACTTTATGCCTGAAGTTCACTTTGTAGTTTTTAGTCCTGTATATTTTCTTTTGTTAATATTAACCAAAATGAATATTTACATCTGGATAAGTTTATTGCAACAGGGAATAATATATTTTAAAGCTACTAATATATTTTATTGCTCTAAATAATAGTTTTCTTATTTCAAAACATATTGATGCCATGTTAAACTATTTACAATTGACATAATAGATATGATTTCAAAATTGTTACAATAGTTTATAAGTGAAACAAAATTGTATATACAACCACTTTATTAATTAATTTCAACAACTATATAGCTTCAGATATGGAATAAGAGAGGTTTAGACTCCCCGTGCACTGGGCAGCCTGGCTACGGCAGCCAGACGAATATAATATGGTGCATGGGGGACGCGCACATAAGCAGCCCGGATTTTGACTGTAGCAGCCAATACAATGTGCCTGTTGCACAGCCAGAGCAACCAGAGCGAGTGTATGTGGCTGCTGTCAGTCTCCAGTACTGTAGCAGCCAATGCATATTTGTTTTGCCAAATGTTGGTTATATGACACAGCATGTGTATACGTTCTCTTGTATTTAAAAAGACTGGTCTGAGTATTTATGAACTTTAAAATACTACTAGAATAGGCCTTTTGAGAGCTGTTCTAGAAAAAGAGGATGTATCCAGTATCTTTTCTTTGCTTTGCCTTTTTTACGTGATAAAGTCAAAATCGCTCGACGATAGGATCATAAATGGGCGTCGATTGGCTGCTCAAATACGTCAATTGCCGCAGCCTGGCTGCCTAGTGCGCGGGGAGCCTTTTTGTGTAAAAGAGAAAGCCATTACAAAATACAATAATATCAATATTGTTCCTCATAGACATCATCATTCTGCTATGAACAGTTTTTCATGCGAGTTGAAAAATTGGAAAATGCCACATTCTAACTAATAATAATAAATCAAACAGTAATTTGGCTCTAAACTGAGATTGTCTTTTCTATGGTAAACAAACTATTTTGGAAAGTCAGACAAAGAGCAAATAAACCTGTTCATAACATGGGTGTTTGCCCAAAGTGGGAATCGGACACACGACCCTTTACCCCTTCGATCAACAATAGTAACTAGATTTCGGGTCAGCGCAAAAATCCGTCTCGTCAAATAACAGCTCACTTGAGCTCTTATTTTGTTTAGTTCACTTTAGACAGCCAATGTCAACGTGTCTCACAATGCCGCAGTGCTTATTCAAAAGATGTCGTTACAGAAGCGATTTCATCATCCATCTGCGTAATTTCAACCGTCCCAGCTGCAGATGTACTGGCACCGTCGTTGATCCGCTCGGCCGCATTCATTACTTTACGTTGCCGGCACTGCTTGACTAGATCATATGGTTTTATTGGTACCATTCGATTGCTGTTGAGATGCCCTTTCCAACCGTATACGATCTCTGTAATACTCTGTATTTCGATTTGGCTTTTCGACGCGTATTGGCCGACATTACATATTTTTTGGTTTTTATTTTTATTTTAACACATTATATTCACAGTTACAATTTTACACTAATGTTATATATATAATCGATAGATTTTGACGAGAGCTGACGATTGAAACTTGAATGAAAGTCATAGCTTCACCGAGTCGAAAGTTATACTAAATGGAAATATCGATACGCAGCAAAATTACCTTCAAATGGCGGGGCTGCCCCCTCCCCCGCGTGCGATGTGTTACAGTTAGGTCTATGGTTACAGTCCTTACTTGAGTCGTCTATTATCAAAGGCGGCAATCTGTACATTTGGACAAAATTTTTTTATTGATATGTCAATACAGATTTATTTGAATATAATCGTCTCCTTCAAAGAATACGGTTCAAAACCTGCATTAAATAAAGGTTAATAGTTAACCTGTTATTTATCTAAGATGTCGTTCCGAAGAGTTTTGTGACTGCCAATGGAATACAAAGNAAAAAAAAAGAAGAAAATAGTTGAGAAAATACAAAAAAAAAAAAAAAAAAAGCCCGCTGAGTTTGTTTCGCCGGTTCTTCTCAGGACTGTGGCTTTTTTGGAACCGGTGGTAGAGTTAACATTTTCTTTTACATTTTGACATTCAACAAGTGTGTTTTTGATGACATCCAAGTTGAAATAAATGATTTTGAATTTGAATTTGAATTTGAAAAACTTAAAAAATATACTTTAGAAATATGTATTACACAAAACATAACGCTAATAAAATAAGTAATGTATAGATACTAACAAACAAATTCTCAAAACATAAAAAGTAAACAACTAAACTTTTACTTTTATTAATATAATAAATTATTTTAGTGTTCAACGCGATTCCCTTACCTCCTGTAGTAAATAGAAATCGAAATTTCAAGAAACAAAAATAAATAAAGCAAAAATAAATGATGTTAGTTTTCAAAGCAATAACGGGAAAAATTACTTTATTTGTTGCCAGTTAAGGTTGATTTAACATTAAAGGTTATTTAACATGTCTTTTCATTTGTAAGTGACAGGAGTAATTTATTGCTTTGTGACGAATGATCGTAAGTATTAGATAATGTTTTGGATTTGCGACTTTATTACCAGGTGCCATAGTCGTAATTAGTTTGAACTTAAAACTGTTTCAAAACTTTTTTCTCCGTTTGTTGTAAACCAATGTAGCTATGTATGTGTATATTCACGCGGACATCTTTTGCTTTGATTTTGTATGTGTCCATTTATCTAGTTACAATAATTGTTGATCGGAGCTTTACCCTGTTAGGCTGCTACCATGGGCTAACTACTGCACTACCAAGCCATTCGACTGAGGATCTATCCATCATTTACCTGGAATGGACTAATGACAGGAACAGTTAGAATAGTGCCTATCTGTGTGAGCTCAGAAAACTTCCTATCTTAATAACGCATACCTATAGTAATTGGTAAGCTGTCAGTGGTTTATGTATACACTCCTATTTTTTAATTAGTACAAAAAATTTAACTGGGCTCTAAGTATCTATAACTAATCATATTTGTGTAGTTAAAAAATAAAAAACACTAAGTCTCAAAACTGTCCACAAAAATTCGTAATAACTGGTAAATGCTAAATAATTATAAAAAAAATCAATCAATGACCGATAGTAGGTACGTGCGGCGGGGTTTGGGTACCTACGGGGCGCTGCTCCATTGATAAATTCCGGGAAACTTAGCTCGAAGCCCACCAACCACCCCTTGTCCCTCTGCGCCCGCGCCTCACCCCGACGCAACGACAAAAAACAGTGCTAAATTGTTATCGGAAGTGTGCGCATGCTTTTTTTCGTTGCAACAGTCGTTTGTTTAAGTTTTCCCTGACACGATGGCTTATCAGTTCACATCACGGGAGTATGTAGCTATGCTTCGTGCGTACTTTTTGAGTGGAGAAAACGTGAGTGCAGCTGTACGTATGTACAGGGAAGACACCCAAACGCTCGACAGCCAAATGTGCGAACCGTGGTAAATGCTTACCAGCGTTTACTAGATCACGGTTCATTCCACGCACGGTCACCTACGTACGTCAAGAACGAGGAAGACCGGCGTTGTCACAAAATCTGTACGACGATGTACTAGCGTATTTTGAAGAGGATCCCCGGCGAAGTACAAATGACGCTGATCGACGGTTTAACATCAGCCAGTCCTGTGCCTGGAAGATTATTAATAAGGCTGGATTACATCCTTATCACTACAGGAAATCTCAAGAATTAACGCCCATGGACTTCTTTTTGTGAAGTGAAATTAAGAGACGTGTGCACAGAAGCGAGCGAATTAGGCTCGAATGATAGCGCATATTGGACGCTAGTGAAAAGACAGAGAAGCGTTAGTACTTTTCTCGTTAAAAACAATTTAATGAAACGAGCCTGTCTGTGTATTAACAATAATTATAGTGGCGGAAATTTCGAAGGACAATTGAAATACTTGTAAGTTTAGTAAATAATACCTATGTAAATAATTATTGTAAATAGCACCTGAATCTAACTTCATAAATATGCCAAAATTTCTCATTTCTTTTAGTACAGAATACCTTATTTTATTGTAATATTTGTTTATTGTTTTCTAATCACATACGTATTTAATTAATTGTAAAAAGGTAATTTTGCCGGTCCTAAGCCCGAATGAATATGAAGGAGAGGTTAGAATTTAGAAAACTAAATAAAGTAGGTAACTACATCACATGTTCTTTTGTTTCATTTTATTGTCTAAGGCCATCTACGTCACAAGTGCGACAGTACGAATGCGAATGAGTAGGATGGAATACCATCAATGAAGTTCAATGAACTAATGAATGGATTGTAAAGTAATATGTCCATGATTTCAGTGAGATTTTTTACAATAAACAAATGATAATAACTTT